GGGTAGCCCTATTTTGATTATGTTGGACTGTAATTATGATACTATTTTCCTTTTTGTTATGCTTTTTCAGTTTTTGGTATGCATATAATTTTACCAGTTTATTTTACTTTTCGTATTTTACAATCTTGGTTTGTATATAAAGTTACTTCCTTATGTACATATTCATTCCCTCTTATGTATATTCGTCTAAATCCCCTATTGTACATATTCAGTTTACCTTCCGTATTTTCTTTCATAGCTTCTTACTTCAATTTAGTATTTTCTTTTTCAGTTTAGTAGCTTCTTATTTTGAGTTTTGAGTTCAATAAGCCTTTGGTTTTCTTAATGTCACGGTTCTTTCCAAAGGTGGAGTTTGTGTGAATCGGGTGGCTCTTCCCGATGATGGATGGCATTGACAACCTTCTTAAGGGTTTGAGTCTGTTTTTCTTTTCGTTTTTGTGTAAATAGTAGCTAGTGAGTAATAGTGCCTCAAGCAAAGCTTCACTTGGGCCTAACACATTTGCCTTTGATCTTATGGTCAAAAACATATTGGTGTGTATAGGATGGTGACAATTGTGACCTTGAGACTCTTGTGTTGGCCGATAATCATCAAGTGGTTTTTCGGGATCATTTGTGTTGCTCAAATCATAGCTAAGGTTGTTGTGGGCCCCCGATTCTGTCTCTTTAGCAATCCTATAGCTTGTGTGGTGAGTTTGAATTGCAAGTCCAAGTCCCGTGCCATTGAGTCTAGAACTTGCCCTGAATGTTTGTCTAGGCGAAATCCTAAGTGTAGTTTGACTTGAGAAGTGATTATAGGCTCTCCTTGATCCGCATGATATCTTGAAAACATCCATAGCCTACCAATGATAATATCCCTAGTCAACCCCCTTTGAGCCATAGCCCTTTTTCCTTCAAAGACCATGATACAAGCCTTTACCCGTTCTAAAAAGACCCTCTCTTGGCACCCGATCTTTCCTTAGCACAAGGTAAAATCATAAGTTTGGGGGGAGAGACGAGGAATGCAACAAAGTGGTAAAAGGTACAAAAATGAAGAAAAGGAAAGGCAGAAAGAAAAAGAAAAAAAAATTAAAAAGTCAAAAAGAATGAATAATGTAGAAGAAATGAAGGGATTCAATAAAAGTAAAGAGATGAAAGGTATGGAAAGTTTAGAAAGGAGAAAAAGATTTGAAATGAACAAGAAAGAGTGACAGTGTGTCTCTCTAACCCTTAAGAGAGAAGTAAATAACTCAAAAAGTCAAGAGAATGTGTGACAAAATGAGGCAAATGAACTGCTTAAGGGAAGATGAAACCTACTTAGACCAAATATTTCCTACTCTGAACTAAAAGCCTTCATTGCATCCCCACAAAAGCCCTATATGATCTTGAGTTGAATGAAGCTTACATTAGTGGTGACTCACATAAGGGGCAAGCTTATGGTACTTAGAGCCGGACTTGAGACCTTTCTTTGAGAGAGATGAGTGTGTTTTCCACAATCCTCGTTCTGAGTGCTACAATCTAAAAGTGAGGTCTTATTTAAGGAAGAGGGAGGAGTATGAGTTTGGGTTCCACAATGACCAAAGTAGTAGAAAGAGTTTCCTTGATGAGTTGAGTCAATTCTTGATGCTTTTGTGTCGCACTAAAACCATGGTGTTTAGAAGGTTGAATGTTGTTAATGATTCATTTGAATTGAGGGCAATTGTTAGTCCCAATTGATGTTAGATGAGGTCACTTTCAGCTGAATTTTCTTGGTTTTATTCTTAAGGAGGTGGGACTTATTTTGTTTGCTTGAGGACAAGCAAAAGCTTAAGTTTGGGGGAGTTGATAACTAGGGATTCTAGTTTATTTTATACTCCTTTTTGCTTGAGTTTTGGATTAAAAAGGTATACAAGTAATCCCGAAAGCTTACATGTTGTGCTTGTTTGCAGTGTTTGGTCAAAAAAGTGACAAGAAGTTAAAACCAGCTCAAAAGGAGTGAAACCTACACAAGTGCCAAGAACAAGTCAAAGCACCGCTGCAGCATAAAATCCACTGCGGCTGCAACAGACCCACCGTGGCCGCGGTCCATTTAGTGCGGTCGGTGGATAAGTTCAGAGAGATGCAATCCTGGAGTTCTAAGCAGTGCGGTCCGCAGTAGATTCTTCGCGGCCGCGGTAGCCTCATCGCGGCCGCAGTCCATTTGTTGCGGTCCGCGAAGAGGGGATTCAGAGAGATAGGATTTTGAAAGTTTCAAGACACCGCGGTCTGCGGTGGCCAGATTCAGAGAGATGGGTCATTTGTTTTAAGGCTTAGATGTTTATGGGTGGTTGATATTTGGACTGTTTTGTATTTTCCATGTTGAATTAGTGGTTGCAAACACTAATTTATGCCTTTTTGATTTAGGCTCTTCTTGAGAAAGAGAGCTTGAGTCTAGGAAAATCAGTCCAACAAGGAATTGGGGTGCATTCAAGAGGTTGATAGCCCCAATTAAAAGGTTAAACCTAGAGATAGTAATACCCGACTTGAGCCTATATTGCTTGCACAATTTTGACACACAATTGGTCTTGAGAAAGTCAACTAGGGCAAAGTCACTCAAGCTACCGAGAGGTATAGAGTGAGTAGTTTCGTGCATTGGCTATATCGCAATCCCCAACATAACAACTTTGCCTTAGGCTTTAGAACCCGACAAGTATTCACCTAGGAGAAAGTCACTTCCCTAGTGCCTCGTGAACCATTTAGAAAACCTTACAAGCATTTATACTTAGCTTAATCGCACATCATTAGAATAGAATTAGAAGTACCAAACAAACAATTATGATTGGAAGTGTAATCAAGAGCACTACACACTGCTAGTTTATATAGGAATCCAAATCCCAAACATTCTAGCTCCCTGTGGATTCAATCCCGACCTTTTCGGGTAAAAGCTACATCGACCGCTCTTGCCACTTTGTAGTGGTGTAGGGTTGGACTCTATCACTTACTCACTCTAATTAAATATATATTAGCTCTTTATTGCAATTCATCAAACACCTTGTATGCGTGCTTTTGTGAGTTAAACCACTTTAATAAAGGGGTATATCAACTCACCTCAATACTCCTTGAGCCAATACGTAGTCCCCAGTCCAATTTGTACCCGTCAAACAGTTGATTCTACAACAAGCAGTGCATTTTAATTAATTTTAAAGTTTCAGACCTAAACATGGGATTTACTGTTGATACAGAGAAAGAAGAGAATTAACTATTCAATTCTTACCTATTACTACTGTAGGGTAATTGAGAATAGGAAATTTTATATACCTGAGTTCAAGAATAAGTGAGTTATGAAGAACCCTAGAATTTTTCGAGCAATTTCTGGCTGCCTCTATTCCTATCCGTGCGTCTGTGTTTCTATGTTCTCCGCCTCTTTTTTTTTTGGTTCGAAATAGGCTTCTGCCGTATTGCCTTTCTGAATGAGAAGTACGTCATTCTCATTCCAAGGCTTTAAGCCTTTTGTTTTGTTTTGTTTTATTATTTTATTTTTTTCCCCTCNCCCCCCCCCCCCCCCCCTTTTTTTTTTTGACTTAACTAGTAATTAATGTTACTCACTTTTAATAATTAATAATATTAAAATTATTAATATTTTCCTAATTGTATATCTAGTCATTTAAGTGTGCGTGTGTATATATATATATATATAGGCAAGAAAAATAGTAATAATAATAATAATAATTTAATTCTATAATTAACGTGTCTCGAAACTTTTATAAATTTGAGGAATGTTACACTTACAAATTATATACAATTCATTATTAGTGCCTTAAATTAGGGGATTTAGTACATCATTTTTCTTTTTTCTCTCCTCTCCTCTTTCCTCACTGCCGCCTCTCTCATCAATTTTTCTTTCTTTCTTCATCACTCTCTCTCACCGTTTCTCTCTCTCAATAAGGTAAGCCTAAAAGTTGTCTTCTGCCAATCAACCTATTGAAGTAACCTCAAGGTCGTAGAAAATTCCTATGCTAATCTATCATAAAGCTTTGAATTCGAATTTTGGGTTTCAAAAACCAATATTTGTTTGGATTGAGTATTGTTGCAAACAATCGGGAACATTGTTTGGAGTTTATATCTCCATTTGAGGGTGTTTGGTGAAGATTAGACTTGATTTTGGCTGAAGTTGAGATTGAAACTAGAAGAAGAAGAAGAAGAAGAAGAAGAAGAAGAAGAAGAAGAAGAAGAAGAAGACGACATGACATACAATATACTTACGAAATTGTAGTAAAGTTGTAGTATAATTGTATGTATATATATATATATATATATACATATATATAGATTTATTTATTTATTTGAATGTTGTATGAAAGTTAAAATTAGTTGTATAATATATGAATCGTCGTATAAAATTTATATTTAAGTTATCAATACTATCTTTTTACACAAAGTTATTGATATGTATCAAAATTTGTCCAAAGATTTTATGAGGTTAATAACTATCGTGCGGGGCCAGTAAAGTATTCTGCTTCACTTGTTTGGTTAACTTACCAAATACACTAATCTATCACAAATTAATGAAACCTATTTAAATCAGCACTAAAATGGATACACCGTACTTACAATTAATATTATACAATTTGATGGTATAACAACATAGAAATTTAAAAATAAATTTCGTACAAATTTAATACAAATTGATATATCTACAACAACATACATACTAAAAATAAATTTCACCAACTAATTATATAGTATACACTTATTTACAACTTATCTACAACTTTCATACATTATTTTTCCCAGTTAAAATATATCTACAATATCATACAACTTAAATACAATTTTCGTACAAATTTTATACAATATATCTTTTGTATATAATTTGTATGTATTTTTTTATGTGGTGTGTGTTTCTTCTTCTCTAAAATTCCAATCAAAACTTTCCCTCTTAATACAGTTTTGATACATATCAACAATTTTCTATTATATTAAAAAGCCAAAGAGGTCGACCAAGGGTAAAAGAGTAATTTAGATATTTCTATTAAAATAATTACTTTTGTCATTGGGTGTTTATTTCTTGTTGTTTCCAGGTTTGGCTCTAGAAGCATCCTTCTTCAACCTTTCTCATCCCCAAAATCAAATGCAAGACTACTCTTATTTCAACATCAATTTCATATTATTCTTTCACTTCTCTTCATCATCGCTTCTGGCATTGTCGTTTCAGGTATACTTTTCTGTTAGTATTTTTTTGCCCAAATCTTCTTCTAATTCTCTTAGAATTTTCAAAATTCATGGCTAATGTTGTTATTTTTCTGCCTCTCTTTTCAATGTACTTCGGCATTTCATTCTCTTTTCGCCCTTAATCTGTTATTTTGCATGATTTTTATTTTTTCTTCAGTCTTCCAAAGACTACCCTTTCAGAGTTTCAGTTCGTTTCGTCTACTCGACTTGGGAATATAATTAATTTCAGGTATAATTTTCTTATTTTTTGCCAAAATTTCTTCCATTTCTCTTATGTCTTCCCGATTTTATCGCTGGAGTTAGTGAACCCATTTTTATTAATTCATATTATTGAAAGATAATATGAATTTTCAAGTTGGTAATTAGTTGAATTTGTCATAAGCAAAAAGAATCTCTTGATTTTAGCACATTTCTGACACAGGATCTATGCAAGTTATGTGTCAAGACAACAACTTAAATTAATTCGCAGACTTTTGAGTATAATTCTTCTGCTGCTACTTGAAATTATCGTACGGGTCCTCTTTTTTTTTTTTTTGTTTTTTTTTGTTTTTGGGTCTATTCTATGTTTTGGAAATTTATGCATTGCTACTGTGAAAGGATTACCTATAAAATGTCATCATTGGAATTTGATTTTTTTTTTTATGATTCTCCTCTTTTGGAACTCCGAGCTTAGGCCTTTAGATATATAGCAGAGTACACATTAAAAAGGAGATAGAATGGATGTCATTGTCAATTCGTTGTGTATTTCTCTCTTTATTATTTGTCGATCAAATGGACTGCTGTGACAGAATCATATTCCTGGGTAATGTACTTTTTCAGAGTGTATAATAAATTAATAAAAGGTGATTGTATGTGCTTTGTCGTATAGAGATGAAATGTTATTGCATTCAGTGTTTTCTGAACTACTAAGTTGTATTGATTAAAATTAACCGTTTATTACACCTAGCTTTGTAACTTCCTATCTGAACATGTTACTGTAAATTCTTTTATTCATGATTACAGATAAAATGTTGTCAAAATAAAGTTATTTGTTGTCGTTACTTTCAGGAACTCTGAATTATAGTTAGAGGCATCGTCAACCTAAAAAGGTAAGTTTATGCTATTTTACTTGACGGGAATCAATGCATAAACTGTGACTTTATACATAACTGATAAAAACTATTATTCTGTATGTGTCATTGGAATGAATGAAGTGTACTTTGTGTCATTGTTAAGAAATTTATGCTCTTCGTATTAGTAATACCATAATATAATTTATGTCGTTTATGTTTGCTTTGTCGTACAAGCTTTGAATGAGACCGTACTTTTCATTATCTCTATCTGGTGTTAGATTTAAATAAACAATAAACAAAACTTCCTTGTGAAAAGTTTGTAAACCATAATAGCTCTTTGAGCTTAGCATTATTAAGGTCAAAGTATATATGAATTATGGGATGAATTTAAGACAATGTGAGACATCTATATCGTCGTCTTTTTAACATTCTATTGTTAATAAATTCAAGTGTATTTCAACGCCATTTTATTGTCATATTCTCTTCAAAGAGGTTATAAAGTATCATTTCTTATTTTCAATATAGTCTATAGAACTACGTTTAATCGTGATTATATGAATATTTGCCTTGGCTTCTAGCTCATCTCATTTGGTAATTAATTTAGTTAGACAATTTGTCAGATACATAAGAGCTTGAGTTATAATGCAATAATAGATAACAACTATCGTTAATCTACTTGAGTACAACTTCTTATAATTGAAAATTGGATAATCGCATTAGAGAAACTACTGCCATGTACTAAATTTAGGGCAAACAACCCACTTTTTTCTTGGCCATATTGACGTATTCCTCTATCGCCTTTACAAGTATACAAGGCATTAATATTAGTAGCAGGCTCCGATAGAATTTGTTTCTAGACTAAGAAGTGAAAATGAGAAGGACCAGATACTTTTAGCGCGGTTGGAATAAGTTCACTTAACAATTTTTAGTTTAGTTTTTTTAAGGGTAAACTGTCTTTTTTTTTTCCTCTTTTCAGTTTACCGCACTTAAACTAAATCTTATCTTTTTCATTTACCTTGTGTGATTTTTAAGAACCTATTCAGTGCTTAAACTTTTTCAAATTAGAGCCTTACTCCATTTAAAGAAGTTTAAATAATACTCCGCTGAGATATCATATGATGTCGGAAATATTTGTTGTACTATCTTAATTGGAATTTTGATATGCTCTTGGGTTACTTTAATTATATTGGTCCACTTAGAAGTTTAAAACTTTAGATTATGATTTCGAGTATATTAGTCGAACAGAATAAATGCAAGAGTTGCATTTTGTTTTGCTGTAGAGTTTTTAAAGTATTAGTATAGTATGTAAAATACTGAAGGAAGATCATGATTCAACCTTATGTTTGTGAGAATAAGATTCTATTTAGTTTATGATTTCACCATCCATTTGCTATATGAATTCCCTTCTGCCAAAAGATCTTCAATACAAAAACAAAACTTTTATATCTATTCTCTTAAATTATATAAAAGTAATCTAGCTGAAGCAGATATGGTTTGCTTAAAAACCTCCAACATGTATTTAAAGTTGCATATGATTTTGCTAGAAATTATAGAGTATTGTTTAGACCACTCAAAGTGGAGGCGTGTTATAGTGAATAGTGAATACTGAGAGTTTTCATGGTGGGATTTCTCTGTCGTCCAATTCAAACATCTCTTCTTCTTATTTTTTTTTCTTTTCTCCGCAGGGCTATCTTCTGATGAGACGAAGAGTCAAAGGAGTTATCAACTTCCATGCGCTGCAACAATACCTTTGCCATTGTCAATTCAGTATATGAATATTGTTGGGAGTGTCCAAATATGCATGCGTTTTACAGGTTTCCATAGCAGCTGTACTAATGTACTTTTAAGTGATTGCACTTTTCCTAATTTGTGATTTCAATGTGAGTGTTGTCATGGGAAAGACCTTGTTTTATATTCATAAAGAGTTTTTCTATTTTAGATTAGATTAGAAATATTTGTCCTCAAGATAATCTCATCTAGCAATGATATTATGGATATTTATTTTATTACGTCAGAAAAGTAACTGCACGAAAAAAATAGCGACAGTTGCTACCATTAAGGGAACACCTCTAGATCAATTTGATAAAACAAGAATTTTGTTTTCTCTAAGAAAAAAAAAATAATAAATCACTTCGCCAATTGCAGTGCTGGGCTCGTGCAAAGCACGGGCTTGCATCATCTAGTTTATGTAAAAAGATAGTATTGATAACTTAAATACAAATTTTATACAACGATTCATATATTATACAACTATTTTTCAACTTTCAATACATTATACAAATTTGATAGTATTGTATATAATGTATATACATTATATACAATACATTATATAATTGTGTATATATATATATATATATATATATATAGATATATAATACAATTTACAGATAATTATAATACGACTTTACTACAATTTCGTAAATATATTGTATGTCATGTGTTCTTGTTCTTCTTCTTCTTCTTTGAGTTTCAATCTGAAATTCAGCCAAAATCAAGTCTAATCTTCACCAAGCACCCTCAAAATTGAGATATAAACTCCAAATAATATTCCCAATTGTTTGCAACAACACCCAATCCAAATGAATAATGGTTTTTGAAAACCCAAATTTGAATTCAAAGCTTCAAAGCTTTTAATGGCTGTCAATGTGGAGAGCCAAATACCTTTGAAATTTATTGATTGACAGTTTCAGTTTGAACACCAATTGTGCAACATAAAAGAAAATTGCTATGTTAAAACTCTATAGTAAAACTATTGAAATCCATTGATGAATTTTATTTAAAATATATACATCATGAAAGGATAAAAATAGAGAATATTGAGGAAGAAAACTTGGGGAAAGAACAGAGAATGGGAGATTGAGAGACAGAGAGAGAGAGAGAGAGAGGGGGAGCACAAGAGGGAGAGAGAATAAGGATGAGAAATAATTGATTCCTTATTCAATTCCTAATACAAAGGGATACTTATTTAATTCCTAAAATGTATGCAATTGGTAAATTGTATATGCATATGTAATTAAACTGAAACTTGAGTAGGGAGAGTAATAAAGTTTCAAATAGTGTATAGGAAGGTAAAAATTCCAATTTTTTCTCAATTGTTTTTACATGTAGGCCAACTGACCAAACCCAATTACAATGTTCTATTTTTTAATATACTCCCTGCGTTCCAATTTATGTGAACCTGTTTGACTGGACACGGAGTTTAGGAAAACATGAAGACTTTTAGAATTTGTGGTCCTAAGCAAGTCAAAAAAGGCCCCCAGAGTATTTGTATGGTTATAAAATTCTCATTAAGGGTAGAATTGTAAGTTTAAAATAAATTGTTACCAAATTTAGAAAGGGATCATTCTTCTTGGAACGGATCAAATAGGAAATAGGTTCACATAAACTGAATCGTCTACCAGCTTTGCATTGTTAGCTTCCGTATGCACCATGTTATTTCGATCCTAACAATAAAGACTGCAAAATTTTTATGCCAATACATAAGCAGCCCCTTAAACTTGTCCATATCTTTTACTTAGACACCTAAATTACATTTTGTTCCTATTGAACACTTATACTTGGGGAGAAATTGTACATATCAAACTGGCACAGTGTGTGTGCCACACTTATTATGAGCGCGTGAGGCGATTATTTACAACCAAAAAGTAAAAAAAAAATAAAATCTTGTTCTTCCCAACGACCACCCACCACCCTTCGGCTCCATCTAATTGCAATTGCATTTTTGAGCCACAAAAATAATGTTTCTGAAATCCGCATCGTCTTTCATCCATCATCTCCATTCTTCGAGTTCTCCTTGGTCTCAGAAATTCCATAACAGTTAAGTTGAGAATTTTTAGAATTTTCTCGTCCCGCCGGAATTCCACCATTTATGTCAACTGCAACTTCTGAAAGTTATCACTGTCCAACAGTCTCTCTTTCCAAGTTCACATTCACCATCAGAGCATTACCTAACACCAACCATGAAAACTTCATCGCAATTGATAGTGTCGGCGATGGTCATACTGTCAACCGGGAAAAAAAAAGATTCTTCAATCTCCGGCGATTCTTTATTGAAGAATGATATGAACCATTTTCCTTCTTTTTCCTCTGCTAAAAGTCAAAACTTAGAGAGTAATTTTCTGTATGAATACCACGTAGACAAGAAAAAGTTCTAAAAACAAGATAGAATCCGCCGAAGAAATCTCCACAAAATTTCTATACCCATCCTATTATTGTATTTGGAGTCATCTCCAAAAAAAATTCATTACTTAATTCAATATGATAAAATTGATTGCTGATTTTGAAAAGAAAACAAAAAGGAAGCTATTACTGATAAGTGATAAGGACGCGAAGAAGAAGGGCAGGGGGAGGGGTAAGGACTAAGGAGAAGACGAAAGGAGGGGTTTGGGGGAAGGGGGAGGGGATTCTGAAGGGAAAAACCGATAAAAGAGAGGTTTTATGTTAAAACAAAAATTCCACGTGTCAGACATTGATTGGTTTAGTTTGCCACGTAGGAGGCACTTCGCAACACACGCTCAAATTGTGCGAGACGTGTTTAATAGACACAATTTGGCTTGAGTTCAAGTGTTCAATAGGAACATGTTTGGCCAAGCTTCTTTTTGGCCAAAAGTACTTTTTTTTTTGCCAAAAGCATTTTTGGCCAAAAATTGAAATGTTTGGCCAAGCTTTTGGAAGGAAAAAAAGTATTTTTGAGGAGAAGCAAAAGCAGTTTTGGAGAAGCAGAAAAAAGTAGCTTCTCTCCAAAAGCACTTTTCTGAGAAGCACTTTTGAGAAAAATACACTTAGAAGCAGTTTTTTAAAGCTTGGCTTCACTAATTGCTGCTCAGAAGTGCTTTTCAAACTAATTAGCCAAACACAAACTGTTTTCTCACCGAAAGTACTTTTGAGAAAAGCACTTTTGAAAAAAAAACACTTCTCAAAATAAGCTGATTTTTGCAGCTTGGCCAAACGGGCTATTAGTTTATGTGTCCAAATGAAAAAATGACAAGTTTAAGGGGCCACTATGTACAACACTTCACTTTCGTTCCATGGAATTTTACTTTTTCATCTATCGTCCAAATGTCATTTTTCTTGATTATGTAAAACTCTTCGAGATTATTATTTGGTTATACTCTCATGTTTGGTTCGGTAAGATTCCACTTAGGGAGGGCTGATTCATCGACTCAAGTCAAAATTAAAGGTTAACAATGGCTAAGAACTAGGTAAAATAATTTTTAAGAAAAGAACTAGATAAGGTAACTAGTAAAACTAGGTAATTTCTGATAGTTGAGTGACTTGAATAATGAACTCCTTCAGATATCAAACACCTTAGTTTTTCTTTATTTAGCTATATATGGCTTTCAGTATTCCAAGAAGGATAATAAGCTATGATTCATGCTAGATGATCATGAAAGAAACGTAATCCTCGATATTGCTTGTTTCTTTGTGGGAAAGAATGTAAATATTGTGGCTACAATTCTTGAAGGTTGTGGTTATTATGAAATAGTTGGTATCCAGAAACTGATTGACAGATTTCTCCTAACCGTTGATTGAAGTGAGAAAGTTGTGATGCACCAATATGTTATAGATATGGGGAGAGAAATTGTAAGGCAAAAATCAACGAGGGACCCCGGGGAACGTTCTCGACTGTGGCATTGCAAGGATTGCATCAAAGTCTTGGAAGAAAAGACTGTAAGATCAGTGCTTAGTCTGTTCCTAAATTCATCAGTCTTTATCTCTTTCCTTGCTCCTATGTTATATATGTGTGTTTATTTTTTCCCATTGAACAGGGCACAGATTCTATACAAGGATTAAGCCTCTTTGTTTCTATGAAGAAAGATAAACCATCTAAGATAATTTCTGGCACGAATATGGCGACAGAGTACCTTTTGGAGTGTGCTGATATTTTAGAGAAGCAAGGTTGGCATCTGAAACAAATTCAGTAAAGAAGCGGACCGGTAGCAGTTTCTTCTCTTGGCCTGCCCAAAGTTCAGCAGGATCAACTCAGCTCAGCAATTCAAGTTACCTTTCTAGAAGTCCCAACTTTAAAGAGCTTCCTAATCTTGTGATGTTATTTCTCAAGTACCGCACAAGGCTGATAGAGATTGATGAATCAATCGGGCAATTGTATAATTTGTTCCTGTTGAACCTATCGGGCTGTGAAGATCTCAGGGAACTTCCACATTAATAGTTGTTTCTAGAAAATAGGATTTCAAATGGAGGAAGAGAAAAGAATATACTTGTGGAGATGGCTAAGAAGACATCATATGTTCCATCTATCTCCTCCAAAGATTTTATCGAGTATATTCCCACTCATGGATCTCATGGTATATATGGCAAAATGAAGTGCAATCCAATCCCCATTTGGCCAAAGCAGTATAAATCTACAAGCCCTTGACGTTCAGGGATCATCCCCTGATAAGGATAATCTCGCTGCATTTCTTGACTGTTTGAATCAGAAACCATGTCTGCTTGCTCACCATGCATTATGTGAATACCAATCTCCTTGATGTTAAAACCAGTCATACTAAGCACCGTGACATTCAGTGTATCACCAGCATCCAGCTGACTCCGAAATTTCCAATGGCTGAACCATAACATTTCTTTGTGGGCTTCAGGAAGACCATAGCAAGTCGGGCTATAAATCAGTTTCACGTTCTTCTGCTCATTATGGATTATCAAATAAAACTGGATACCCTCAGTCCAGACGTTCCAGTCAATTGTGTACACTGAGCACACAGTTAGGCCATGGATCTTGAGATTGAGATCAGGAAGTGAAGGGACAGTGTAAGTTAGAGTTGCTCCAGCACTCTTGTAACAAAACCAATTGGGAACGTTGCTCCCCGGAAGAACTATGCTGATAAGTCCTTTTTCAAACAACGCCTGTGTCATAAAGAATCTCATTAATATGACAAATAGCAAAAGAAAGAACCAACAGCTACAGGAGTTAGAAGAAGTTTGACCAAGTACATGAAAGTAGATCCCTCAATCCCTTCTCTGGGGGGGGGGGGGGGGGG